TACCTGGGTGGGTGTTTGTTTGTTCAAAGAGATGGAGTCAAATCTCCAGAGATTACCACTAGTATAAAAACACTTATTTTAACAATACAATAGCGATCCAATTAGAGATAATTTGATTATAGTCTTTATTAGTACGGTAATAACTGGACTCCACTTCTACATATACACTATTGTGAAAAAATATATAATGTGAAAAACAAATATGAATTAAAATAGAAGTGAATCCCTATAGATTACTAAGCTTGATATCATACATATGACAAGTTACTCTGTATATGAATACGTTTATATCACAATTTAACAGAAGATATGTCTTTAACCCCTTAAGGACACATGACATGTGTGACGTGTCACGATTCCCTTTTATTCCAGAAGTTTGGTCCTTAAGGGATTAAAGATAACAGCAACTCCTTATATGGAGACACCTTAGATACTGAGCGATCAAGGCTGAGATACTTGTAGTTATATTAGCACACTAGGGGTCTCCTGAACAAACAAAAGATTAAACAGCACTGTGGTCCTCCGTTGTGGCATATTCCAAACAACCAAAGTGGTTATAGTACCAATCCCACTCTCTCCTTCCTTGGAAATCTAACAGCACCAGCTATCTATACCATAAAATAGTTCACTTTTAGTAACTGGCTTTTAGATTAGCTTTTTAGATGGTATTAATTAGGCTGCAAATCTAGTGCAAAAAGTCTATTCCTTGCTACTAGCAACAAGTGGCACTTGTATGATGCAAAACAGTCAAATACATTGGAGGGGTCCAAGATAGCCAGCAACATGTATTTAATAGACAATATAGCTAAAGCCAGGCCTTTTAAACCTCCCCCTATGTAGATCTAATAAATACCGTAGAAATCTAAAAGCCAATTACCAAGAGTGAACTATTTTATGGTATAGATAGCTGGTGCTGTTAGGTTTCCAAGGAAAGAGAGTGGGATTGGTACTATAACCACTTTAGTGGTTTGGCATATGCCACACCTGAGGACCACAGTGCTGTTTAATCTTTTGTTTACTGAGACCCCCCTAGTGTGCTAATATAACTACAAGTAGCTCAGTATCGAATGTGTCTCAATATGAGTTGTGGTTATCTTTAAAGACATATCCTCTGTTATATTGTGAAATGTATTCATATACAGAGTAACTTGTCATGTATGTATGATATCAAGCTTAGTACTCTATAGAGATTCCCTCTTACTTTAAATCACTTTATTATATTTTTTTCACAATAGTGTATATGTAGAAGTGTTGTCCAGTTATTACTAAAAGACTATAATCAAATTATCTCTAATTGTATCGTTAAAATAAGTGTTTTTTTATAGTAGTGGTAATCTCTGGAGATTTGACTCTTTGGTTAGCTTGTTGAAATGTATCAGGGGTTATGCCCCTTAAAGGACGACTTTTTTTCCTGGCACTATAGTGCCCTGAGAGGGTCCCCCTCCCGCCGGGCTCTAGGGAGAGGAAGGGGTTAAACACTTACCTTTCTCCAGCACCGGGCTTGGAGCTTTCCTCCTCCTCTCCTTCCTATCGATGTCATTGGCTGAATGCGCGTGCGTGGCAGGAGCCCCGCGCGCGCATTCAGCCAGTCTCATAGGAAAGCATTGTGATTTTTCACAATGAGAAGCACATAAGCGCCTCTAGCGTCTGTCCATGAGACAGCCACTAGAGGCTGGATTAACCCTCAGTGTAAACATAGCAGTTTCTCTGAAACTGTTTATTTAAAAAAAAAAAAGTTAATCCTATCTGGTCTGGGTGCCTATAGTGGTCCTTTAATGATTTTCTCTTACCTGGGTGTTTGCACCACATTTGGTCTCTTCCTGCAGAAGAATCTGAATGTTTCTGTTGAGTTAAAGGGGTACTTACACCCCATTGTGATTGATACACAAGCATCCTGCCACTGATCTCCAGTAATGGGGCAATTTTTTTATTTTTAATTGTGCCCTCTAACTTCTCAAGCACCCTCTGAGACAGGTAACACACATCCAGCTTCTACAGAACCCAAATGTTGATCCTATTAGTTACTCGTACACTAAAAGAGTGTAGGCTAAACTTTCGGTTTCATTCTTCCCAAGTGATATTTTGTCTTAAGCAACAGCTATCTATTCGAAGATCGCTTTCCTTGTGATCACATTGAAATGTTTGTTAAACTGCATGCAGTGCAAGCATTTCTGAAATCTGTCCTGGTTTCTGTGAGTGCAGTAATCACGGCTACTACAGTTTATAAGAATTGCAAATTGACTAATTTCATTGTACCAGTTTTTTTAATATAAACTGTCTGGATTGCTTCTAACTGCACATTGAGCAATAACAGCTCACATAATTTCAGCTTGGTAAAGTTTATTAATCTTTGGTCAAGAAAACCAAAATTGAGTATTGGTGAGTTTTTGCTTTAATGCCATTTAAACATCCCCAGAATTAAATTTGTAGACACGTGTGGATTGCTGTAGACAATTGACACAGCACTCAACCATTTTACAGGCTTATGGGTATTTAAAAAAAAAAAAAAAAATGAACTTGAAGTGGTATTTTAAGGTAGTACACTACACTATGGTTATATGTGGTATTTTAACATGTAACTGTTGTTTCAACAGGCAGCCAAACTTCTGTATGAATCCCGGGAGCAGTAATGGAAGACCGAGCCGAGAGATGACCAGTGCAAAGTTCTATTTGTAATTGTCATTTTGACAGCATATAACAATTCTTCTTTCCAACGGATCTCCGGACTTGTTGCAGCTAGGTTGTAATGGGAGACATTTTTTATAGCCATAATTATTCACCTTACTTGTGCAATATGTATACATTTTAATAATGCTTTAAATCTTAGTCTCACAAGCAAGACTGTATATTTTTGCTAACTTTCTGGTCACATACTAGCAACAATTATTCAGACAGCACAGCTATCACAGAAATTGGACCACATGGTTGTGGTTACTTATCGGGCCCAACGCAGTTTACTCACTTCTTCTGAAGAATGAGGTTTATGCAGTAGAAACTCAGGTTCGTTTTTTTGCTCCGTTGCTAAGCACTACAATGCACATTGTCTATTTTACTGATGGCTTAGTCGGATTTCATTGTATTAACTTAAGCCAGGAGCAGCCAAAATAGTTCTACAAGCGCTGGAGCAAACTGTTTGTCATTCCTGCACTAAACTTTACTCTCCCCATGTCTGATAGTGCAGCAATACCTTTACCCTTTACAGAATAGTAACATGGAAATCGTATTTTAAGGTAGGACACTACACTATGGTTATACCAGTGGCCACGAAAGGTATCATTTAAAACTGAACATGCCAGGAATGTACTGATGGTACAGCAGGAGTTCCCAGGTATGTTAGAGCTTTAATATGGACTATCTAATCTGTATTGCGGGAATTTAGCAGCTGTGATAATCTTAGTTAACACAAGTGGTGGACAGGAACTGCAGTTCTTGTGTGTCTGCAGGAAAGTTACAGTCGGGCCTTAGTTTTTGATTTAGAGGGTTTTAATCAACCACAAAAGGCACAGGGGGCACTGTATGCAAGGATATCAGCCTGATCTAGAATGAGCAGGATCTTCTCATGACGTTAATTGCTAAAACCTGTAATTAAAGTGTGCTTGTGAGTTACAATATCAAACTGAAAGAGAGTGCACAGAATTATTACCAGTGACTGACATTTCATCCCTCAGCCTGTGTTTGGCAGATTGGTGATCTATGTGTAGTTTACCCGTCTGTCATACAGTGGGCACATTGCTCAGTAAATTTGGGTAGACATCTGTTGTGGACTACAGCTTCCATGGTGCTCTGAAAGCCTTCTGTAAAATCTGGGGTTTATGTATAAAAGTGTAGTAAGGGGCAACAATCTCTAGGTATTATACTTTATACGTAACCTCCACCTTGTTTCCTATATATAATATGCTGGTCCTCTAAGAGCCTCTCCTTTAGAGGCCTTGGATTTTGTACAGTTCCAATGTTTCTCTAATAAAGAAAATAATTTGTATCCAATACTGGTTTGTTTTCCTACGTTTGTTAGTGGTGTAGAGAATGTTGACTTTGCATTGTTATTGTAAACCATTAAATACAGTGACTGGCTTTAAGAAACCAAATCTAGTATGACTGCTGCATAAGGACATGGTCTCTTTCCAAATAGCGAAACATAGTCGTCGTATCACATGAATCTTACCTTCAGCCATACCTTACAGGCTGGGTGGATTGACCAAAGGAGGGACTCACATCACCAGCAGGAAGAGTCTGTACCTAGAATGGTAAGTGCAGTCTCACCTCAAAGCTAGCAGACAACGCAGTGCAAATATATAGAATACAAATCTGCACAAATTGTTTTCTACTAGTAGCATTTTTATGAAGTTGTATTCATTAACTTCTCACAATTCTAAACATGTTTATATATCTTTCCCTGGTCCTGTGTACAATTCAGGAAATACAAGGTTTTGTAAAAGGCACTCATTCAGCAGCCTGTTGTTTAACAAGTTCATTGTTAAAAGGCGTAATATTTGGGTGCTGCTGAAAAAGGCAAAAACACACAATGCATAGAGGACATCCATATTTGCACCGTGTGGCTTAACCCAGATTTATTTCTTTACGTAGATTCAAACAGTTAAACTCTACCACTAATAAGAAACATAATGCTGTCGGCACCCAGATATCTCTCCTCCCCTGAACGTGTCACCAATTGCCTTTCTTCTATCTCTGATTGGATGTCCTGCTTTCTGAAACTCAATCTCTCTAAAATGGAGTTTCTTATTTTTCCTCCTCATAACACTGATCCTCCTCCTTCACTCTCCCTGCAGGTTGACTGTACCTGCCTCACCCCATCCTTTCAAGCTCGCTGTCACTTTTTCTCCTGATCTTGCTTTTGCGCCTCTTGTCCAGTCTGTTGCTAAAACCTGTCGATTCAAACTTAAAAACATTGCCTGAATACACCCCTTTCTTGGGCAAGATGCTGTCAAGGAGCTTGTTCATGCTCTAGTAATATCGATTACTGAAATTCTCTCCTAATTGGTCTCCCCTGAAGCTGTACTGCCCTCCTACAACCTGATGAATGCTGCTGCCAGGCTGATCTTTCTCTCCAGTCACTCCTCTCACCCCTCTGTCGATCTTTACACTGGCTTCCTGTCCCTTACAGGTGTCAATTTAAAATATTAACCCTTACCGATAAAGCCCTAACCAACTCTAGCCCTTCTTACATTTCCTCACTAATTAATAGGTATGTCTCCGCTCTACTGGTAACCTTCTCCTGTCTGCTGCTTACTGCAAATTCTCGCCTGCAAGACTTCTCATGCCTACCCCTGTCAGACACTCCGCCAGTCCTCAGTCCTTTAAGAAGTCCCTCAAAGGGGGCGGAGTCTGACTGCCAAAGCGGACGGTCACATGCGTCTGGAGCTCCGGGCCGCAAAGCTGATAAACACCCTATTTTCTGATACCCAGACCAGACCAACAGGGCCCGACAGCTCTCCCGGGAGCCCTGAACCCAGATGGGGAAAAAAACAAAAAAAGCGAGACAAGAAGCGCCCCGAATGGGTATGAACATAGGAGAGATGTGGCGGCAGGCTCGTGGCGCTCAAGGGCCTGGGATGGCGGCCATTGCTGGGGATTGTTCAGACCTCTCGGACGACTTTTCTTGTGGATCCGATGAGGGCTACACACCTGCTATGGCGGTTCCCCCGCCGCGGATCCCGACAACACAGCCGGACCCCGCTCCTGTGACGGCCGCACTCTTGAAAGAACTGCTGGCGGATTTACAAAAGAACCTCCAGGCAGACATGGCCACGATACGCCAAGACTTGAAAGGCCTGACTGGCAGGATAGGAGCCTTAGAAACCACCTCACTCTCAGCCAAACAGCAGATCACCACCCTCCAGCAGGAGGTCCGAGACCTGCGAACACTAAACGGCTCATATGAAAGGCGCTTTGCAGCCCTTGAAGACTCCCGCCGTCGGAATAACATAAAGGTCAGGGGGGGTCCCCGACAACGTACCCGAAGCGGAGCTCCCGCACGTGGTAAGGAGACTACTTGCGGCCCTACTCACACCCAAACTGTCCAAAACACTAGAGATAGAGGGCATATTCAGGGTGCCCAAACCTTCCCAGGCACCAACCTCTGCCACGAGGGACTTGATCGTACAATTCGTTAAAGGGAGAGACAAAACAACCCTCCTAAATGCACTACGCGGCAACTCACCTTACTCCTTCGAAGGCATGGACCTAACCTTTTATGCGGATTTGAGCAGCAGCACCTTGGCATGGCGTCGGGAGCTGCGGCCGCTTACTATCCTCCTACAGAAGCATAACCTTAACTACAGGTGGCGACCCTCACGTGCCCTGTCAGTCGCTCATGGGACTACAACTCACATCATCCGAGACTTCCAAGAAGCCAAAACGATCCTGCAGAAACTGGGCATTCCCCAACACCTCCTCCCCACCGAAGCACCGGAGGCAGCACAGCGACCAACCCACGGCTGGAACCCGGAAACTACGGCGGAATTTGTACCCAGACAGGCCGCCCAGGGCTTACAGGACAGAGCCAAGACCTGACTTTATGAGAGACAGCCTATCACAGGCCCAGTATTGGACCCACGCACTCTGGCAGCCCGATCCACACAAGGCCCTTAAACCCACATACCCACTCACAAGCTGAGCATATACCGCTCATTAACCTCCCTTAGATTGGAGGAAGGTATCCGCCACGGTTCCCCCCCCCCCTTATGAATATAATTTATTTATTTATTTATTTTTTCTCCTAGTTCACACTATATACATATATATTGTCTCCCCCGTAGGTATGCAACATCGCTCCTACTACTGGCAACTCCGATCCAGCACAACACCTTGCACAACAGCATCCACACAGGGGAATTGCTCGCGGTGCACTCTCACTTTTCTTTACTCTCTCCATTCTATATGTGCAACTAGTAACAGTGACCTAGCAGGGTCACCGGGCCCGGTGGCTTTCTCAGCTACGAGTCACCACTTTTTATCTTCATGGGATTTATGGGCCCTATCCCAAGCAGATTACTCTAGCATGTTCACATAACTTACACTATGTAAGCAGTTTATTTGGGTACTTACAGTTTAGCCTGATACAGTTAGCTATGAGATAGAATCAGCTGTTAGACCACATACTATTACTTACCTAACCTATGCCTACCTATAAAAATTGTACACAATCCTGCAGCCATAATACTTTTTGACATGGCCTTCGCTTTTTGTATGTCATATTGCCTGTGACCTTTCATATTTACTCTTGTGCCCTATATCAATGAAGGCATATTGTGGTTCATCTCTCTAACAATACCAGTCTACTTAGCTTGCCTAAGCTACCCTCTGCAGGACTTCCTAGTCCATGAATATAGTAACGTAAGCTTGAACAACTAGCCTGCAATGTTCTCTAACACCATTATTGCCTATTTTACGCTAATCCAGTTTCTTTTGTTTACCAACAATCAACCTAGATATAACTCGTTGTTAAGTGTTTAAAAAATTTTAAAAATGTGCAAAGTTTTTTCCACTGCCTAACTAACGTAAACCTTTGTTTAACTCTGCATACTCTGGTTATTGTGGCACGGTGCGCTTTATGTGAAATTCCATGCACAAATAAAATAAAGAATTTAAAAAAAAAAAAAGTCCCTCAAAACCCATCTTTTTAGGAATGCTTATGACCTCCAAGAGTAACTTCTATCGCTCAAACCTTCCTCTTGCTCTCTCCTAAAGGGCCACACTCCACTCTCACCTCCAGTTCTGCTACTTTCCCGACATGTCTATTTGCGGTCTCCCTCAATACCCTTATAATTGTTTTTATACCCCGGCTCGTTTGAGCAGGGTCTTCAACTTCCTGTTACATTGTTATTCGTAAGCGCTGCGGAATAAGCTGGCACTTTAACTAAACCAAATGTTATTGGTATTTATAAACTCCATGATCACTCCTGCTTTTAGAAATGGTAATGTTGGTAGAAATCATTTCAGCACTTTCCACCCTGCTATAGTTCTTATTAGTGCTTGTTTTTTTTACTTCAACTCCCTCCCCTCACCAGAGTGTAAGCATGTGCTCTAAGCTGGTGAAAACTATCCAATGAAATGCCTCACCACGAGAAGCATTTGATTGGCCCACTGAGCGGGAAGCAGTGATGTCAGACGATCAATGGATTCCAGGTAGGTATTTAGAAAGGGTCAGAGTAACCCTTTAGACCATATCTCCCACATTTTGACACAGCTATGACATCCATTTGAATACATTAAACACATGTTTGAAAAGAATCCTCTGTAAACACAGCTGTAATATTTGAACATGCTATAGCAGTATTTTATTTTTAAATTTACAGGTTTGTTAATTTCTGAATTCTATTCACTTAGACCATCCAGAACTAACTTCAGTAGTAGCAAATAATTTTAAACAAATACCCTTAGTTTCCACCATCACCACAATATATACACTTAATGCAAACATTTTAAGAACATATTTAGCACAGTGGGACTGAAAATGTATATAAAACTATATGCACTCTGTGAAAGGCTGGCAACTCCCAGCCGCAGATTTAAACAGTCTACAACTTAACAAATAAAAATGAGAAAAAACAAATACTTCTGGTATTTAAAGCAGAGACAGTAAATGCCACAAATGCCTTTCAGCTTCACTATACAGTGTAACTTATTGCAAACCTTCCAATGTGAACCAAATGCAAACCCCTTCACCCATTTAAATGGAAATCCTCCCAGACACACTCACACCATCCTCCAATCACCAACGTGCACAGACCTTCCTATTCCTACATTGCAGCTCCCTCATTGCACGCATGCATGCATGAAACCCTGTGTGGAGACACGTTTGGGAGTTAATAGATTCTAGTTTTAATCCCTTTCTATGTAGTTTCTCCCTTTAACGTTTTACAGATCAAACCTGTGGCAGTGCTAAAGTAAGTGCAAAACAAAAGCTTTGTGATTATCTCTTGGTATAAAATCATTTATGTGGGGGTTTAATTAAAGTCTAAACGTGGTCTCTGTTACAACCAAGTGATGATAGGCACAATCAGTTGTAAAAAAAAAAAATGGTGTAATTTAGACTTGTACAGAAAGTTGTGTGGAGTGAACCATATTCCCTTTAATCCACACCCAAGTTGAATCTACCTGTCTGGTATTAGCCCGTGGAATCTTCTTATTTATTGAATACAATTCCACAGGTCAATCCTGGACTCCTTCGGGAGTAAATTAAAAGGAACTTGATTCAGATGAACCACAAGTCTAGTATAACTGACATAGATGGGACTTTTTAAATTGAATGGAAGCAAACTCCTTTCTAGAAGCCCAGCATTCTGCTTAATCTATTATGAACATTTTCAAAAAGAACTCCCTTTATTATCAAGAAGACTTAAAAGAAATGGCCTAGCGTTTACTACAAACCCATACACGAGATAATGTGACAAATGAACAGACCCAGACCTGCCATACACTCGTTTACTATTACAGAACAATTAGAGCAAATTGTATTTGAATCTGACCCCCTAGTGGCCAGAGCGGTCAGTGCATGGAAAAGGAGCGTGTTTTACTGCAGCACTGGCCTTTACAGTAAATAAGACTATCATTAATAATGCTAGAAGAAAGAATTCTGAGATCAAACATTTGGCGATAGCAGCTGTTCCCTGGATAAACAGGCGAGGTCATTTCAAACATCTTAATTGCTTATCAGTCTCACCAAATCCCTACCCTTCTCATCTAAGTTTAGTGTTTGCTGCCGTCTGGGGAAACCGGGGACGGTTTATAATGCAAGTCAGAGTCCTCAAAAGGTGGCTTCTACTTCAAACACTCGCTCAATACCGATGGGAAGGAATCTGTAAATGTTAGCTGGTACGGAACATTGTGATGCTTTACATCCAAACTCAGCTTCTTGTTGTTAATACTTTAAGGAATAATTTATTCCTTAGGATGTTTTAGCTCTGCCTACTACAACCTGTCTCCACACGTACAGTTTCTCCATTATAAATTATATCCGAATCCTTCATACACTTCCTTTATACAAACACCCAGTAGAATAAGCCATTTCTAAACATACTTCAATCACGCCATCTTCTTCAACCTATCAGTCATTCACACACACCTACAAATCCTTCAACATACCATGTCCCTAAGTGCTGTACGTGAATGTTGTCTTAGGACACTCTCAGCTGGCAAAAAAAAAAAAAAAAAATCTTCTTTGAAATGCACTATAATTAGATCATTTCATGGTCAGAGCAAAAAGAGCAAATGTGAAGTCTTCAATTGAGTGCCTAATCTGGGTGCCGTCACTGGGG